AATCTTCATTCATTCCTTGGCATGGGGGTGGGCTTGGTTGATTATGGTTTTTGGCACATTTACTAGAAAGACTAGAAAGACGGTTCAGATCACAAGGCTCTTGGCCCAAGGCAAAACTGACTTTCTGTCTACTTCCTCCTACAGCTGCAGCTTTAAAAAAGCTGTGGTGGTCCCTCACTTTGCCTTCACCATCTTGCCCCCCCACTAATCAGAGCAGTTTGAGTCCACTTCAATCTTGCCTTCTTGAGCTTGATTTCAACTTTAATTTTTAATAACTTTCTCTCTCATGTCATTTTGGATGGATTTGCTATGCTAGAAACTCTCCAGATAAATGAGTTTCTAAATTAGCCTTTGTGTAATTAGACAAGAACTCAATTATTCCTAACATTCTTATTATCAGAGCCTGGGGTAAAAATATGCTTTGGTAACTCACGGTTTTAAAACTCCCAGCTAGGTCATTTACATTAAAATGACACTGCAGAAGGCATTTTACCAGATTAAATCACAATGGCTGGACTGTCCAGACTTCCCATTAAGGAGGCCTGAAAGGTGCCTGTCCGGCGGCGCATATACCAGCGACCTGTTCTCTATGTCAGGAAATCAGCTTTGGGGTTTATCATCGGGCTCACTGTTGAAAGATTACAGATCTTTATCATGAAGGCTGATTAACTTAGGCATTTCTTTGGGGGAAAAAAATCATCCCTGAACTGAAAGTTGATAATACCCAGTTTATTTCCTGCTTGTCTTTTCTTATTAAGGCCTCCTAAGAGGTGGATTTTTCTAAAAGATAAGAAATGCCATAAATTTTTTTTAAAAAACTTTCTCATTTTAAAGGCATTTTTATTCATTATTCACATACATCTGAATTTTAGCCAATAAAGACTTGGCTTTGATGCCACATTTCTATGCAAATAGCATGATTTGCATTCACTGGTAATTTGGAGTCAAAGGCTGAAGATGATTTGTGTGGTTCAGCTCTATGTTATAATTATAGCAATGTCTCTCTCTCTTTCTTCTTGAGTTCCCCTGCTCTGGCACACACTCTCAAAAGGCACCTTTGGGTGCTCAGGGGGCTCCTGGACTGGACCAATAAAGAATGCCCTTGGCCTGGATCAGATGTTTGACTTGGGCTGGCAGGCAGTTCTCTACTTCTTGGGAGGCTAAGTTCGTGCTTCCTGGTTTGGGAGTAAGCCCCTAGGGGAACCCTTTGTAAATCACACCTGTTCTGAGAGATAGTACCATGATCTGTGATCTTGGTAATGTGGAAGTGTCATGTCCCCCCACACCCCTTCCACCCTGCCATGATGGAAATGGAAACACATAGCTCTTATACATCTTAGGTGACTTTTATCCATGTCCTCCCCAAAGCTCCCGAAGAAAGTCCATTCACTGTGCTGGGAGCCTTCCTTGGGTTCTCTTGTCATTTCATTGGACCGCGTAGGCTGTCATCCCTCCCTCTTACTAGATTACCAGCCCTTTGTATTTGGCCACATAGTTCTTCGAAGACACCTTTCATCCCACTCCTCCTGCATGACCCTTGTTTGTTTCTTCAGACCAGCTCACACACATCATGCATCTCTCCATTGTCCTTTGACAGGGCAGGACATGATCATGCTACACCTGACCCAATTGTTCTGGCAGTAGAAACACCCCAAGAAAGAATGGGAGAAATTATCCAGGTGATTAAGGCTGAAAACCAAGCCAAAACTACTGCCACCACCAACAAAACCAGCCCCAGTTATGAATTATTCAGAAATTCCTTCACTTCTCCATTTCATCTTACAAATAGAGACCCAACGTTGTAGGATCAGTGACTCTATTTCTTTGTCCCTCCCCTTTCCTCTTTAGCAGGCAATATATCCTATGAATGACGCTGTGGCCCTTAAGTGTCTAGAATGGTCATATCTATGCATATTATTCCACTACATACAATAGCATACATATACATATGTGTAATATACATTACACAATACATATGTGTTTGCATGCTGTAAATTATGTAAAGATTCTTCCCTGACTCCAAGCTTCCTTTCAAAGCAAGGGATATGACTATTGCTGTCTCCCCTGAGTGTATATATGAGTTACATATATACATATGGCGTATATTTATAGCATACATAACATATATTATTATATATTAATAATATGCATGCACCGATCTGTGTGTATACACATCACTCTCCTCTCTACTGAACTGTCCTATTACCGTTGAGGGAGCCACCATCTTCCCAGTCCCCCTGACTCCCCACCCGCCTCATACTGGACTCCTCACTCTCACTTGGCCCAACCCGGCTATTTCTACTGTCCCATCTCCTCTCTCGTATAGATCCCTCCCTCCATCGAGGCTGCCATGGCCGTGGGTCAGGCTCTCACAGCTGGAGTATCATGACAGAACTAGCTTGATCTCCCAGCTTTGATTCCCTCCCTTCCTCCCATCCATCCTCCGTGGCTCAGCTGCAAAAATGACTGTGCCACCTCCTGGCATTTACTGTGTGACCTCGGGGAACTGGCTTCACTGGTCTTAGCTGCAGCATCCTCATCCATGAGATGAGGACAACAGTAACACCTTCCTCATGGGTTGTTGTGAGCATCAAATGATAGAATATATTTAGTCAAATCAGCAAGCATTCATTAAGGCCCTACTATGTGCCGGACACTGTGATAAGGTAAAAGGAACAGCCCCTGCCCCCCAAGGAGCTCACAACCTAGTCGGGGAGACAAGAAGCAAACAGCTCTAAATGGGACGAACTGGATTCTGACAATCTCAGGAGGAAGGCACTTGGGCCAGTGGAGACTGGGAAAGGCTTTACGCAGAAGAGGAATTTTAGCTGAGCCTTGAAGGAAGCCAGGAGGGGAGCACTGCCAGGGTCGGTGTGGGAAGTTCGGAGATGGAAGGCAGTTTTCAAAGGGCAGCAAGAAGGCCTCATAGCTTAGCTAGGACCTGGGGGTGGGGGTATCAGAAGACTGGAAAGATGTGGATGGGCTGGGTCAGGAAGGGCCTTAACAGCCACATGGCAGCAGGGAGGAGCCCTTGGAGTCAGTGAATAAGGCTGTGACAAGGCAGAGCTGTGCTTTCTGGAGGCCACTTTGATAGCTGAGTGGAGGTAAGCAGGAGGGGAAGAGACAAGGGGAAATCTTTCATAAATTTTGGCTATTGTCTTCCTCCTCCTGCTTCTCCTCCTCACCATCATCATTTTCCTCCTCCTCTTCCTCATTTTCCTCCTCCTCCTCCTCATCATTTTCCTCCTCCTCTTCCTTCTCCTCTTCCTCAGTATTATTGTTACCCTTCCTCTCCGCCTCTCTGCCCCTCCATGGCATACTTCTCACTCAAGAAGGAAGCTGCATAGCCTGACTCGCTGAGACTGCTCCAAATCTGTGGTCTAACCTGAACCCAGACCTCACTGCCGCAGGATAATCCATCGACTCTTCACTGATTTTCTGGGTGTCCTGCTCCTCCCATGGCTGCCCCAAACCTTGTCTTCTCACCTAAAGCCTCCAGTGAGGACCCTTCTTCTCACCTGAGACGGGCCAGATACTTTGCCGAGAACATGAGGACATCACTGCTGAGTCCCTTTTTCCTTAATTTCTATGCCAGATTATCCCGCCATCATCCCCCACTGCCTTTTTCTCTGCCCCAGTCTCTTACAAAGGTGCCGCCTTTCTCACCAAGACCGGTCCCTCCACTTGTGCCTGGGCTTCCCCCTTCTTGCCTCCTCCAGGAGCTGGACCCTTCACTCATTTCTCAGCCCTAATCCTCGCTCTCTCTGGGTGGCATAGTGGATAGACAACTTGGCTTGAGTTCAAATCCTCCCTGAGATTCCTATTAGCAATGTGACCCTGTGAGATCATGGTGAGCCCACTTTCTCTCTCAGCCTCAGTTTCCTCATAAGTAAAATGGAGATAAAAATGGCACCTGTCTCACTGGGTTGTTGTGAGTACTGAATGGATAACATCTGTAAGGTACACTGAGAACTTGAACGCATTCTGGGAATGTGCTGTATTCTCTGTCCACTTTTTGTTGTTCGTCATTTTTGTTTGAATCTTTGTGACTCTGTTTGAAGTTTTCTCGGCAAAGATGCCATTGCCTTCTCCAGATCTTTTTACAGATGAGGAAACAGAGGCAAATGGGGTGAAGTGACTTGCCCAGGGTCACTCAGCTAGTATGTGTCTGAGGCTGGATTTGAACTCATGATGAGTCTTCCTGACTCCAGGCCCAGATGTCTCTCCACTGTGCCACCCAGCTAGCTGTTTCTTAAACTTTCCATGTTGTCTACCATGACCAGCCTACCCTTTCTCCTTTTCTCTCCTTAGAATTCCTACCATCCTTCTAGGGTTAGCTGACCTTAATCCCTCCTCTTACTGGAAACTTTTCCTGGTGCCCCCAGTTACTTAATATAGATTTTGTATGTAAGATTTAATTAGCTTTGGAGGCCTCAAGGGAATGGTCTTCTATTCTAACCCCACCCCCATTTTATAGATGGGCAAACTGAGATCCAGAGAGATGAAGTGGCTTGTCTAAGGGGCAGAGACAGGATTCAAGCCCAAATTCGATGATTCCAACCCCCACCCCCACTCCTCTGAACTGCCTGTGCTCCTTGAGGGGAGGAGGAGCAGGGGCCCATGAGGATCACACCAGCAGCCCATTCTGCAGGGGCCCATTGAGAAATACCGACAGGAACCAGTGCACATTCTTCCAGGAATCCCAAGTGCTCTTTTCTACGTGAGCCAAGAGCCTCCAGTCATGTGTAAAGTCACTGCTTGCTCACCACTAAGTCCTTTAATAGATAATTAGGAGATTTTCCTTACTAAGTCTCTGAATTCAGCAGCTGCAATGTCTATTTAGGGAAAAAAAAAAAAGAAAAGCCCTCAACCACCTCTCCATCAAATTATAGGAAAAATGGTGTCCAGAGCTGGAGGACTGTGATGCCGGCCCTTCTGGGTTGACCTTTGGGCTGATGGCTTTTCCTTTTTTCTTGGTGGCTGGGGGTCTATTTCACCAGGATGAATTTCAAATATATTCTCGAAAAAAGGTCACATGGATCTACCTGTCCTCCCTGAACGGCTCAGTCAGCCTCACCCCGGACCATCCCGTTATCGCTGACGAGGATTATGTCATCAACCGAGCCATCATCAGGCCTGATTTAAAGGTGAGTGGCATCCTGGCTGCAGACATGGTGGACATGGTGGCCATGGCGGAGCATCAGAACCTCTGCCATTCTGCAGAGTGTTAGGGATTCTGTTGGATGAGGCCCTGGGGCCTCAGAAGGTGAGCTTGGAGAATCGCTGCCCAGCCTGGGGACCTTGGACCCCAGACACCTTTGCAGCCAATCCCCAGGCCCTAAAGCAGTGTAGAAAAGTGGGGAGATCACTGGCTTTTGAGTCAGATGCCTGGGTTCAAATCCCACCTTTGGGAATGACCCCCTGAGTGACCGTGGACATGTCCTTTAGACTCTTTGGGCCTCGATTCTCTCCAGCTTGATGATCTCTGGCATCTCCTTCATTCCTAGCCTGGTGAGCTTTTCCCTGGGTAGAATCTGCCATGTTTGGGCTGCATTGGCAAGGCCTTCAATGGCGTGGGGTCACAGAGCGAGGCCAGAGGAGGCATCAAAGGAGGACGTTGGGGGAGGAGATGTTTCTGTGTTTGGGTTTATTTCAGGTTCCCCTGTGGGTTACTTGAGAGGTGTGCTGGTAAATGTTTAACGACTGGCTCTCTGAGAAACAAAATACAAACCCCCCAAAACAAAGCATTGTACAAGAAACCCTTTCAAGTGTAATCTGTGGAATGGACCTTTCCCCCTTTGCTTTCTTTAGTCTGGCAATCAAGGCAACAATAACTCAAGCCCTGATCTGTAGTGTTTGCTGATTCCTGAGGGTTTGGGTGAAACATTCACAATGTCAATTTAACAACCGGCTCTCCTTGTACTGTGGCCTATTTCACCTACTTCCCCATCTACACAGTCAATGGGACCTGGCTTCTTCACATACTCCTTCCTCTGTCTGGCCTTCCCAATCTCCCTTGGATGCTGGCACCTTCCCCCTTACCCCATATTTATTCATGTGTACATACTGTCTCCTCCCACAAACTAGAAGCTTCCTGAGGGCAGAAGCTTTTCATTTTGTCTTTGTGTCCCCAGTATCCAGCTCAATGATTGGCATCCCATGAGCACTTAACAAATGTGCTGAGGGCAGCTGGGGGTGCCGTAGTGCTTGAAGTGTGGGGCAGGCGTCAGGGAGACTCATCATCCCGCAGCTCAATGCTGGCTCACACCTTCGCTAGCTGTGTGACTCTGGGCGAGTCACTTCACCCTGTTTGCCTCAGTTTCCTCATCTGTGAAATGAGCTGGAAAAGGAAATGGCCAACCACTCCAGTATCTTTGCTAAGAAAACCCCAAATGGGGTCACAAAGAGTTGGACATGACTAAAAAGTGACTGGCCAACGACAACAATGACTGAATGAGTGATTGACCGTGAAGGGAAGACGGGAGCACAGGATTTGCTCCAAATTGGCTCAAGGGCATTCCACCCTCTGGGCCAGCTTCCCTCTCTCCCACTCAGTCCCCTGAGGTTTCCCCTCATTGACACTGATCGAGAGTCTATCAGTTCCATGGTGCGTTAAAGTGGGCTAAGCCCCTGACAGGCGCGATTGCATCTCTCCTCTGTCTGGTGCCTGGGGAGGCCTGTGTTTAGGGTGGCCCCTGGGAAGGCAAGAAGGTAAGGAGTTCTGCCCCCTTGCCTGACCAAAGGTCACCTTCTAGAGGCTCTGCTAGCCTGAGGAATAACCCCTGTCCTTCCTAGCCCCGTCCAGATCTTCACAGGTTCCTTGGCTGCCCCTGCTGGCAGCGTGTGGACTGGAACCCAGGTCTTCTGCCTGCCAGGCAGGTCTCTTCCTGCTCTGCCAGGACCCCAGGCTCCTCAACCTTCCTCTTTCTCTCCCCAGTGCCCAGAGACCAGCTCTCCTGGTCCCTAGCCTCCCTCCTCCTGGACACCTGACCCCCTAGCCCCTGCTTTACTTGTCAGACTGGGTGCCTCAGATAAGAAACAAGCAGGGGGTGAGCCCCCGAGCATTAGCTGAAGCTGGGATGTACCAGATGCCATTGCTGATTGGCAGGGCGTGAACATGGAACCAACTCCCTGAAGTTCTTCAGGGGGCTGTATTAATCATTAAAAAGAAAGCCCTTTTGTAATTAAGGATTCTGCAAACAAGCTTGATCACAGATAAAAAGTGGAGGAGGCCCCAGAAGCCTCACACCAAGATGGGAGTGTTCCCCTGCCAGAGAACAGAAGTCCAACGTGCAGGTCTGCCCTGCAGGAAGGAAGAGCAAGGCTGAGGAGCCAAGCCTGGTGATCTGCAAGCACTCAGTGGTGGCTGGACCTGGGGCATCCCAGCGGGGTGAGCTCATTTCTCTGAGCCCAGGAAGGACTGGTGCCCTTGTCATTGAGTCTGTTTCTCAAGTGCCCTGTAAGGGATCTGGCCTCGAGCAGCCTCACCTTGTGTTGGTGGGCAGCTCCCCAAGACTGTGTTCTTTTTGGTAGGATGTGGAGGGTAGCAGGGCTTATGGGCAGCTCGGCCATCACCAGGAAGCAGGGAGCATTGGTCCAGATGGTTACCTTGGCCAGCTCCTAAGTGACTTCGCATTTTGCTTAAAAAAAGAAAAAAAGGTGTCATATGAAGTAACTAGTTATTTCATGGGGTGTTGCGCGTGTCCGTGTCCAGCTCAGTGGCTGTGAGAGTCTTAGACTCTCCCAGGAATGCTAACTACCAGCTTAGTTCCTGATAACCTGCGCAGAGCAGTGAGAGGCAGGGAGACAAGATGGTGAGGCTCCGTTTATTCAAGGCACAGCACTGCGTTTGATATCTTTGACTCATGGGAACATACCCCAATGTAACAGCGGACAAAGCAGCAAAGTTTACATATCTTTACCAATAGGCAACACTGAGAATTTTTCTCATGCAAAGACCAATCAAAGTATCAACACGCACATCTCTTTGCAACATTATCCTGACTGTGTCCTTCTCCCGTGCTGTTCCCGTGAAGACACCATGTACTTCTTGTTACCGGAATGTCCCAATACTTGATTACATAAACCAGCAATACTTGATACGTCTCTGTGCTAGAGCTGACTGTTCTTGAGCTAGCAACATTGTTTTATAGTTTGAGCTTGCCAAGCGTCAGAGTTTTGGTGACTGGGAGGTGCAAGGTCCATGGACGGAGAACCGAGCCAGGATATTCTGCTCATGTAGTAACACCTGAGAGGGGCCTCTGCCCATCAGTGAAGTCTCATGAACAGCCTGTGGACCTCAACATTCTACAGATCCCTAACAATTCCCCCTTTTTGTTTTTGTCGCAGTCTCAGTATATGCACGTCACTATATATATTGTTTAACAGCATGGATATACATTTAAGTACGCATGGGGTACAACGAAGCAAGATAAGAACAAGAAGGATAATAGGAATTACTGCAGTCACAATGAACATGATTATATGAGCCACATTGGAAAAGGGAGTTTTGATCTTTTTTATCCAATCTATAATATGTTGTGCATTTTTCTCAGGCATTAGATCCCTATCAGCCACATGTGAAATTTCTTGAGCAATGTGGTATAACTCATCTATGTCCAAAGACAATGTAGAATTTTTGAACAATCCATTCAAATGTCTATGTATCCTCATCCAGTCCCATCGAGATGAATTATACACAACATTGGTAAGACACATAAATTGAAACCTATAATCACATTGCAAATGAGTACGATACTCAAGATTATCCAGTTCATCACTTATTTCAATTATTGTTTCTTTCATACCCTCTAAGATGTGATAAAAGTTAGTATCAATACGTTTTTGTGTAGCAAAGCCTATAGATACGTTTTTTGCAAGTTCATTCAAAAATTCAACTTGGACAATTTCATTTTGAACAGTGGAAACTGACAGTGCTATAGAGACAGTAGAAGAAATCAAAGCTATTAATGAAACAATACCCAAAACAACACAAGAAATACACCTCTTTTGTCTTCTTAAAAAGAAGTCACTTTTGTGTTCTATAATACCAAAAATATGCTCAGCCCTAGTATGATACCATTCTTTGCTTTTCACAGGTATAAGAGCAAATTTCTGTTGTGTTATGACAAATACCAATTGCTCATTTATCTTCAACCCTATACATTCTGACACACTACAATTCATACAAGTAACATTATATTCACTGGAGTCCAATTTTGTGATAGCGATGTTATTTTCTTTTCCCCACATGAATGCGAATTGTCCCATTAAACAAGCCCGAGCATAGGAGACGTCGGAAAACGATGCCAATTCCTGTCTCTTCCTTGCTGAAGTTAAATTGATAGGCCCAAGTGCTGCCCATGCCTTCCACAACTGATCTTCAACTTTACCATTAGGCAAAACCCAAGCAGGTTTAGGATATCCCCCAAAGGCTGGGGAGTAGGTGTGACTGTCATTAATGTCTTTAGTATAATTATGCCAGGATTGTAAAGTTGTGCCATTGATGTTGATACAATGTCTTTCAGCAGTAACACAGTCCAACCAGGGTGGGTATTCCTCCTTGTCTGGCCACATAGCCAAATAACAAGGAGAATATTTGGTAGGCCTCATTATCGGTGTGGAATTGTCACACCGCTGTCCTTCGATACCCAACATCGTGATGTTGAAATGTTGAAAGTGCATGATAGATTTTGTTGGCCCTGTCTCATTAAATTGAGTACCTTCAAATCTAAATGTAAGATTCTTTAATTGTACACAAATATTTCGAGTGTTATTTGTCTTTGTGACACACAATGGTGGAGCTAAAGCTAATCCTGTAAAATTAAACTTTATTGTGGGTTTTGAATTATTGCCTGTTGAAACAAAATTAAACTCTTTACCTAATCCCTGTGAAGCATTGCCTTGTAATATCACTTCTGGGAGAGTTTCTTCCCACGTAACTACCCTGGACTAAGGCTGTTTTGTCACAAAAGCCCATCTAGTTGCATTCCCTTCAGCTACAGTTTGTGTTATCTGCAAACCTAATATGAGTGTTGTCAGTATCGTGTAAGTGACTGTGGACAACTTGTTTCTTTCATCCTTTCTCCTACTGCTCCTCCGCCTCCGTTGTTTGGCCATCCTTCTTTTCTTGTTTTCTTGTTCTGAA